ATGATTGCTGACCGAGCTTCCTAGAGCTGGTCATGCACATTCCAATTTTATTATTTAGATGCATTGAAGCAATGTTCTGTAATGGCATTTTCTTGAATAATCCATTCGGTTTTAGTCCTATAAAGGTGGCCATACACCTTACGAATATCGTCCGATTTTCGTTTTGCGATCGCGCTTTAATCCGATATTCGTAAGGTTGATGGGCAGTGTACAACCGCAAATACTGTACAATCGTACGACTTTCGTCTTTCCAGCAGGTTAGAAAACTTCTTTCGAATCGTACGATTTCCGCAAGGATTGGTGGCGTTTCCGTACGTCAAAATTCGTACGATTAACACTGCTCATGCGCAAACGAAAATTAGTGCGGTCGATTGACGAAATTCGTCCAAGTGATCTCTGCTAAAGACCGCTAATTGAACTGTGCGATGGTCGGGGGCAGGATGGGGCTGCCGTACGAAAATCATATGACGGTTCGATCATCGGCCATAAAATTTCCGTCCAATGAGTGCTAGGTGTGTGGGCAGCTTTAGCCGGACTCTAGCATTGCATCGTTGTTGGTAGATCTAAAGGAGATTGTAATATGTATGGTGACCATCTAGTGAAAGGACAATCTGCCAAGTTCACCCCCTTTTCTGTGCCAGTGGGAGTCAGCCCTTTAGGGGTATCGGTTTACCAATCATGTGTTTGCTGTGCTTGGCTGTGACAGTGGCCATGTGATCAAGAGCCAGAGAAGGCGTCCCGGTCATGTGACCTTTAGAGGGACCTTAAGGACAGAGGCCTTTTTCTTTAATTTACATATTATATTCCACGTTTTAGGCCTGATAATTACTTAAAACCCCCAAACATTTATATATTTTCTGAAAGCCAAGGCCCTATAGAATAAAATGGTGGCAGTTGCACATTTTTATGTTGCACGACATTAGCGCAGCTTATTATCAAACCGAAAAAGTTAGTGAAAAATGCACTTAAGTTAAATTTAGTGCCCCAAAAGACAATAGAATACCCATTATTATTTTGTAAAATATAAAGTTACAACGAGTAAATAGATTCCCAACATGTCCAGGTCAAAAATTCTGTGCGTCCGTGAAACTGCGACAGAATTCAGTACCCCAAAAAGTCCATAGGCAACGCTTTAAAAGCCCCACAGGTCATCAGTTTAGAGATAGGTGTAAATATTGGCCCCAAAATTATTGCTCTTACTCTGGCGTTTGCGGTGATACCCAACATGTGTAGCGCAGCCGTCCTTTTCGTACGTAGACGCACCCGACGCATGTGACAACGCGCATGCTCGAGGGGTGGGGGACTTAAAAAAATTATATTCAATCATTTTTTAACGTATTTAATATTTTTTATTTTTTCTAATTCTTTTTTTTTAGTTTTACTTTAATTGCTATAACATAGGGGGGCTTACAAGTCCCACATGTGATAGCAGATGGTGGTGTCAGGTCCTCTTTTTAAGCTGATTCTGGGGGTCCAAAAGACCCCCAGTGTCACCTTTACACTTGAAATAAGCTATTGAAGTGCAGATCGCACTTCAATAACTTATAGCTGGGCTTCAGGAGCCCAGCACTGACAGCCCAGGGACCGGAAGTGATGCAATCTGCATCGCTCTCAGTCCCATAGAACAGGGAGGAAATTGGTGAACAGAGATTCATCGCTCTCCTCCCCAACTTCCCACCCATACCCGAGACGCCGGTCCCGGGCCCATAGGAGGGGCAGCAGAGCCCGGGAAACACGGCGGGGGCACTTTACCGGATCATAGAAGCGATCTGGCAGCAGCTGAGCCGCCAAAATCACTTCTACTGTAAAGCCAGCTGCCGGCTCTACAAGTATGAGTCTGTTTAACCCCTTCAGGGTTCATGACGGGATTATCCCGTCATGGGTCGTGAAGGGGTTAATGTTGGGGCTTCCCGATCATGTGATCACTGTGCTTGGCTGTCACAGTGGACATGTGATTGAGAGCCAGAGAAGGGGTCCCACTCATGTGACCTTTAGGGGGATTTTAATGTTGGGGCTTCCCGATCATGTGATCACTATGATTGGCTGTGACAGTGGCCTTGTTATTGAGAGCCAAAGAAGGGTTCCTGGTCATGTGACCTTTAGGCCTTGTTCACACCAAATGCAGACCAGATCCGGTCAGGTTTCTGCACACGCAGTGCAGTGGGTTGTGCCGCGTTTTAGACGCGTTTTGGATGCGTTCTTGATGCGTTTAGGGCCGGTTTTGGTTAAAAAATAAATACAAATTTAAGTTTAACATGGGCTTTCAGGCACTTGCATGCGTTTTGCGTTTTAGATGCGTTTTTGATGCGTTCCAGACCAGATCCAGAGCAGGTAAAATAGGGCTTGCCGCAGTTTTTTCATCCGGTCTGGATCCGCACGCTGCGATGTGAACTGGAGGTCAAAATACCATAGGAATACATTGGACGCAGTTTTGATCCGGTCTGCACCTGCTCTGGTCCGGATCTGCTCCGCGCTTGGTGTGAACAAGGCCTTAGGGGGATCTTAACGTTGGAGCTTTCCGATCATGTGATCATTGTGCTCGGCTGTGACGTTGGCCATATGATCGAGCTTTGCAATCATGTGATTGGGAGCTGATAGGACGGGCCCCTGATCATGTGACTTTTACAGGGCTTTTTAATCATGAAATCAATGTGATTGGAACCTGCCCTACCACCTCCCAATCGTGACTGGGAGCTGTTGGTTACAGTGCTGGGGGCGCTGAATTGAGTGCACTCCCAGCGCAGAACAGGGACGCCGGCTGCTTGCTTAGAGTGGAGACTGCAAGCCCGGCCTTCTCATCCAACATCAGTACCTGACCTCACAAATGGTCCAACATTCCCATAGACACACTCCTCAACCTTGTGGATGCCTCCCCAGAAGAGTTGAAGCTGTTATAGCGGCGAAGGGCAGAGCCAACCCAATACTGAACCCTACGGACTAAGACTGGGATGCCATTAGAGGTCATGTGCGTGTAAAGGCGTCCCAATACTTTTGGTAGTGTGTGTTATAATATAATTTTTTTTATTTTTATTTTTTAAACATATCAAACATAGAATGAGATAGATATAGGACAGAGTGTGATAAATATAGGACAATATACATATTAGCAGCTGTGGATGATGCCAACAGGTGTATTATTATTTATAGATTTTTTTTCTATCTCTCATTTCTTCATTAGGAATGTGAGGTCTTGTGTATTACACACATATCCTGTTTGTTACGGATTTGTCATCAGGAGAAAACCTCAAGACATTTCGCAAGTGCAGGTTTTATCTAGATGGCAGCTTATAAAAGCAATTTCCAGCCACTGCCAGCATCGCGTCACTTATTGTCTCAGGTCGTTGCAGGCAAATAGGCTTTCTATTAAACCACATCCTTGGAATTGGCTTTGAATGCATTATTAGCATGTATCCTATCAATAAATATTAACGTAGAGCCTAATTCCGGGATAAATCTTGTCTGTACACAAGAGCCATGTGTGTTCTTGGTGTGCTTTGTGTGTTTTTTTCCAGATCTGTGCAGTAATCTAGTGTGAGAATTGGAGCTTCCTGTAATAAAGACCGGTCACTGCTGCCATCTCTACTTATGCAGAGTGACTGGTCTTTTCTCCGCCCCTCCTGTAGTTTACCGAAGTGGGTGGGGTTTGCTGGGCCCCTTCCACAGCGCTGCTCTTTGCACAGACAATGTACAGCACACAGATGAAGTCACTGCTATTGTTATATGGTAATCTGCCGTGTTTTCAAGGGCATTTGGTGCACACAAAGTGGATTTGTATCCTTTGTTGCCATTGAGGAACATATTTAAATGAATGTTTTTGTGCTCGGCGTTAAAGTGGAACACCAGCCATTTTTTTGTGTTCAGCAGAGAAGGGGTGGAAGCATTGTCAAGTTTTTATTGTTGTCTGAGTCTCTGCTGGGGAAACTGAAATAGCTTCTACCGATTTCCCCAATCTAAACTACAGCTCGCGGTATACTGAGACGCCGCAGCCGGAGCGGATCCCAACATCGATGTGCCCGGATCCGCCCAGCTGCGTGATTGACAGCTGGCTCTGCCTATCTAGAGGCAGAGCCAGCTGTAGCCGCCCCCTCCCCCGTCCGATCCGCTAGTCAGAGCTAGCGGATTGGAGAGGGGAGGGGGGAATCCATCCCCTCCCCTGTCACGGCTCTCGGATCGAGAAGTGAGCGAACACCGGCATGTATTCGCTCACCTCCCGATCTACTGAGCCGACCTGTGACAGTCACATTGTCATAGGTCGGCTAGAACTATGAGGTGAGTGAAAAGCACTCACCTCATACTTCTCCTTTAATATTATATGTGGATTCATCATATGTAAAAGGCTCCCTTGTGTAGACACACAAAACCGTAAGACTCTTGCTGGGGGCCACCATAATGGATGTGTTGTCAGGAGCCCCAGCAGACTCAGAGCTGTCGCTTGAATGACAATGTATAAGCCATTGTTCACACTGTAGCGTATCGTGACCGTGAGTCCAATGTGCACAAAAGTGTGCACTTCAACACACCTTCACAAAATGCGCACCAAACGCCTTTACTGGTAAATGGTACCCCAAATACAGTGAGCAAATGCGATGCTTTCCTGTGCTTAAAAACGTGGAAAAAAATCCAGAATGCATATTGCAAATTTACTACATGCACTATTTTCCTTCATTTTGGCATGTGTCCAGAAACCTATTAAAATCAACAGGGATGCATGTCATATACGAGGAACACACCCACAAA